ACCATGGCGTCTCGATTGCCGCGTCCTCCAGGACTCTCAGGCTACGGAGAACTTATCCCGAGCGTTACGCGCATCGCTTATTGGGGCCGATATAGCTGATTTGGATCGCCTCAAAGAACAGTGGCGGCATCATTGCAGTGCGTCGGGCAGAGGACTTTGCAACCGTATGTCGAAAGATGCGTCATTGTTAATCCAGAAGATACGCATTGCCAATCGAGATCCCAGTCCTTCCACTGTAATGCGGGCATGGCAAGAGGAGCTCGTTGAACGATACCAGCGTATTATGCGCGCTTCTTCACTCTCGGCTGCAGCTTGGCGCTGTAGACGTGCACCCTGTGCGCACCCTGAGGTGCTAAGGTATGCACGCAGAGCTCTGCTTCGTCCACCAGGCTCGCCTGCCCACTCGCTGAACTCTATCACCCCAGCTACTGCGGGTACGCGCGACTTTCAGGAATTCACTCAACACTTTGAGTCAATAGCTAAATCTGGTGCTAATGTCTGTTACCCAGGATCCGTTTCTTCGCATCCTCTACTAACAGATTTACCTCATGATTCCAACATGTCAAATGACATCCTCCTATCACCGCCATCCGATGACGAAATCAAAGGCGCATTAGACGCAATGAAAAAGGGATCGGCCCCAGGGCCTGACGGACTCCCTGCAGAGTTTTATGTACAGTTCCGGCCTATCATTGGTCCAACTATGTCACGCGCCATTCGCAAGTGTTTCCAAGATATTACACTTCCAACTTCTTTCCACAAAGGCCGTATAACACTAGTTCCCAAGAAATACCCACTGTCTACGCGACCAGAAGATTGGCGCCCTATTACCCTGCTCAATGTAGATTACAAGCTCTTGGCTAACATTTTGGTGCGCCGAATCAGTCCATTTCTTGCAACATTAATCGCTCCCCACCAGGTCTGTTCTGTTCCGGGCCGAGAATACACACCCATACGTGGTTAACGCGTGACATCATTCAATACACCATTAGCCGATGTGCGCAAGGACTGTTGGTTTCATTAGATCAAGAGAAAGCTTTTGATTTCTTAGAACATGGCTACATACTAAATGTTTTACATGCATACGGATTCCCGAATAAGTTCATTGACCTTATCAACGCGATGTACACTAATTTAGAGAGTACCCTTTACTTAGATTCCCGTGAGAGTCACGCATTTAGAGTCACGCGTGGGGTCCGTCAAGGGTGTCCCCTCTCCCCAGTGTTATTTATCCTTGCATTAGAGCCCTTCTTAAGGGCCGTTGAACATCACCCGCAGATTCGTGACTTACCTCTACCCGGTAACACTCAAGTAAAAGTCGCTTCATATGCAGATGATATCACTCTATATGTACATAATGAACAGTCGCTGCAACATGCTCTTGATACATTCCATGATTTCGGTATTATCTCCGGTGCAAGGTTAAACTTTTCTAAAAGCCAGTAATTTTTCATTGGCAACCCCAGCGGTCGCATCAACATCACGTCGCCTTTACAGTGGTCTCCTGAGATTTCAATACTCGGAGTTACTTTCACTGTATTTGGTATACAGGATAGCATCTGGTCATCCGTTGTACAAACTCTTCTAAATGATATCAAAGCAGCCAGGTACTTCGAATTTCCCGTCTTGGAACGCCGATACTTAACTCAAACGGTGTACCTAGGAAAATTTTGGTACCTTTGCCATTCTGTTAAACCACCGCTCCACGTCTGCAGGAAAGTGCAAAGCTGCATCAGTTCATTTTTTTTTGGTCTGGTGGCACAGAATTGTTATCACGTCCAGCGTTAGCTCAACCGCGAGATCAAGGCGGTTTTGCATTCCCCGACGTTTCCGTCACGGCTTCTACATTGTGCCTCCGCACTCTATTGCGAATACTAAGCAATGATGACATGCCCGCTCAGACACTGGCTCGTTACCATCTGGGGCCATCACTACGTGTCTTCTTGCCGGATAGCCAAATAAACAAAGGTCCCCAATCAACTGAATTACCATCTTTGTATCGAGCCCTTCTGGCATTTCACCGACGTTTGGAAGCTACGTGCCCAGAGATAGAGGTGGCTGATTCTAAAGTGGTGGACACAATGGCCGCCCTTCTACGGCCCTTGGTGCCCCAGCATCGTCAATCTGTATTGAACGGCGCTTGGAAACCAATAACTGCCGCAGTGTTGCCAGGGCATCTCAGATACTTTGTCTGGAGGTTGGGCTGGGGCTTGCTCCCAACGCGAGATCGGTTGCAGCGATGGCAGGTGGTTCGCACTTCCACTTGCCCCAACTGCGTCATGGTAGAGACCAATCGACATGCGACGTTTGAATGTGTGGTTTCCCGCCTTTTTTGGCGTGCGGGTAATTCTGGTTTTCGGGGACAGGGTGTGCGAACTTTCGTGTCCAACGGCCGATTTCCGCGTAGCCGCTTCTCCGCTCTCTTAATAGTTGCGGGGCTGTTCAGCCTTTGGAGAAACCGATGTGAGGCCGTAGCTGCCAATTGCCGCCGGCGTGCCTTGTGGCCGATACTGGGGAGAATGAGACGAGAGATCCTTGCGCTCCTCTCCGAGGAGCTTTTCTTCCTCGGGGAGCAAGAGTTTCTGCGGCATTGGTCGTGCCCTTTCGTCAAGGTGGAACACGAAAGGATACAGCTAATTTTTCGACCAACTTGGTGCTAAGCAGCGCCCGTTGAGTTGTTATATATGATTTCATTTGTTACAAATTGTGTTTCATTTGGATCTACTGTATCGTTATACCCTTGTACCGTGATATCACATTGAATTTTTGTGTACATGTATGCCAACATAATCATGTATATTAGAGCAAATGTCTTCACTGTAATGTAGTGATGTTAGTCGTGAAATATAGATTTGCAGAAGTGTATGTGCCCTGTTACTGGAATGGCATGAAGCCTTTGTGTTCTGTACATGCTGTAAATAAACTTTTTCTAAACAAAAAGAATCAGCGGTGCTCACTTCTGCCGCACTGCTTTCTGCCGGCGACACAAGTAGGCCAGCGTCATTCATCATGATACAAATAAGGCTTCAAGTTAGTAAGAACGAAATGACGATTAAAAAAAACGTCTGAGCTCTGAAGTGGGTCTTCAAGAGACGTGTATAAGCAAGTACGAACGAAATGAGGATTAAAAAAAAAAACGTCTGAGCTCTGAAGTGGGTCTTCAAGAGACGTGTATATGCAAGTAAGAACGAAATGACGATTAAAAAAAACGTCTGAGCTCTGAAGTGGGTCTTCAGGAGACGTGTATAGGCACGAATTTAGAGTGTCTCGGAATATAAGAATGTGGCATTGAAAATGGCGCTGCCGTCTACTGAAAGAAAATGCGGTGGCACTCAAAATACCAAACCAGAATATTGCGAGAGAACGAAGTGAGCTCGCACAAAGGTTTCCATCACCAGTGTGCATTAGCACAATCCATAAAAGAAACTGATCGAAGGAGACAGAAATACGTAGCGACAACTGTCCTAAGCTCATAGTGTGGCATTGCTTGACGTCTGAGATCCGAAATAAAGTCAGTTCGGCAAGCTTTATCCTTTATGTCTCTGGACAAAAACAAAACAACCTTATTTTCATTTTTCAGTAGCTACCGAAAGGCTGCCGTCCCCACAAGTTAGAAGTACATAAACCACGTGCAAGTACTAGTAGTGAATTTCGGTCAATAGCAGCAACCTCGTTGACGTTTTATTGCATTAGTAAACTTGTTATTGGTCCAGCTGTTGCCAGTCAAAGGAAAATTAGACGACGCAAGTCCACCAGTGATGAATAGGTGGAAGAGCGTCATCAGTAATTGGTAAAGATAAGCATAGGTTAGGGCTCCCTATATACTAAAGGTATATAATTTAGTAAAACTTGTTGTTGAGCTAGTTAGTGCATGTTACAAGAAACTTAGACGACGCAAACCCGCGGCGAGAAATTGGCGAAAGGACAGAGCTTCATCAGAATTAGGAAGAGATTAGCATAACTTGAGGCTCGATATATATGAAGTATTATACTATAGCAAAAACTTGTTGTTGGGCTAGTTAATGCACGTTACGAGAAAATAAGATGACGAAAACCACCGAGAAACTATAGGCCAACGGGAAGTCTCGTTGAACTAACGCTACCTTGTTGCATTTTCTCAACATGAAGAAAAATAAAACTAGTTAAAAAATCTACGTAGTAGGCATTCTTCGCAAGGGTAATTGAATACCATTTTCTTTTTTCTTAGTTTTATAAGTATGGTGGAACAGAAGTAATTGCGCAAATATTCCCGCCGGGCAAGTAGAACACCCAGCAACCTGCCTTTCTTAACGAGGTTCGGCGCACTTTATAAGCACATTCTCACGTTGTTCATCTTGAGCCTACACTCTACTGGTTATGTTTTTTTCGGTCTCAACATTCTCACGTAATATAACTGCCTAGTATTCGTTCATATTCAATGCTATACTGTGCGAGTAGTATAGGCAACGAAATGCTCAGGAAAAAGAAAAAAAAAACTTCACCTCCGTAGATATGTCGGAAAAAAAAATACTCGATTTCGGGAATGCCGCTGGGAAGTGCCTTCTAGCAAGACGTTCGTGAGTAAAGTAATGCTACTTTTATTACGATTATTAAAAAAACGTGGTTTGCTTACAATATGTGCTACGTACACCTTTGTATATCGCAGTATGTATTGAACTAAGTGCCTTTAGATATTTCTGCTGAGCCCGACTTACTCTTTAAATTAGGGCCCCAAAAAGATGTCGTTTTTTCTTAATTACTTGCATAGGTATTTTTTTATTTTTGGAAGTTTTAGCTCGGTAGTCTGCAAATTCAAAGTCAAATAGTGATGACGTGGCGCACAGCATGTCTTCTCTTCCACGAGATGACAGGCCTAGGAGAAAATGAGATCACTGCGGCTACCTCATTACCCGTATGCAGCCGGTTTTTTAGCGTCGAAGAAAAGCCCTCTTCGCTTTCCTCGGGGAAAAGAAGTAATGAACTGCAGGGAGTCTAACGATAAGAGGCCGTCGATGGCTCACCTCTCTTGGGGGTCTGTGAGTTTGGACGGACAGTGACGAAGCTTTGTAGACACATGGCGAGTTTGGTCACGCAGGACGGTCAAGAAGAGGTGAGCCTGAAGGCGACGCCTAGCGTCGTGAACAGGGAACAGAGCACCAGCCTCAACTCCACCGAGACTGGAAGCAGGGCCCGCGATGGCGAGAAGTCGTGCTGCATGGCGGCTCTTTTCTCGCCTGCGGGATCACGTGGCAGTAAAAGAAAAGAGGAAGAAGAAAGCAAGAGGAGAGAAGACTTTGATGTGAAAGAAGAAGAAAAAGTGGATGGTATGCAAAGTCATTTAGGTTCTGGCCGATGGTGCCCTCCGCTCATCTTAACTGACAGCGACTATTATGAACGAACTTTGACTTGGTTATAGATGATTTTCGTGGAGACTGCATTAATTATTCTGTTACGTCAAAGTGCAATTTACCGAGTTTGTCCTGAGAAGATCTCTTCCTATTTTGCGTTTCGCACATCAGATGAAACGCCAGGTGGAGTTCTTGCGGGAGATGGATTCAGGCCAAAAAATAGTTCAATGGTATTAGCATTCGTTCCAAAGGTGGCCTTTTTTTGGCGTTTCCAAACTCAGTAACAAATAAACATGTTTTCACAACGAACACCTGTTATTCATATGGTTGTAAATGGTTGTTGCGGATCACTTAGTGTCTCTTTGTTTTCGTTATCAGTTCCTTTACGATTAGTTCCGTTAGCGCACAGTGTTAGCCAATCGCAGCAACCGCGCTTATAATGACGAAATGCAAGGGCGAGATACGTGGACTTGAACATTTCGCTGACCGAACTTACTCTATGTGTTCCAATGCGTGACACCTAATGTATTAAACGGGGTACAAGGAATAATCGAAAAGAGCCGTCAGATGTCAACCCGTAATTGGAATAGCTAAATCGCAAGCAGTATTACATGGCTGACCAGGCTACATCTCGCCTAAGCTGGGCAACGACTGACACGCTCGGCAACCGACACTTAAGTACCAGTGCTCGAATTCTGCAAGAAGGAAGCAAAGCTATGCTCACAGAGACAACAACAACGAGCTCGCAATGAAGAAACACGCTGTGCTGGCGAAAACACACCTACCGTTGAGCACGTGCACCACGACGCTCGTGGAATCGGCGTTCGACGGGCCGCAGGTGTAGTTGCCGGAGTCTTGCGGCCGGGCGTTTCGTATGAAGAGGCTGCTGACGTACGCGTCAGGAGGGCGCTTGGCACCCGAGATGTGGCCCGGGCCGCCCTTCGTCTCGTCGTAGTTGATAACGCGGTCGTTGTGGTACCAGAACACAAACACTGGCGGCTCGGGACTGTGCTCGATCGCGCAGCTCACGTTGATCGACGAGCCACTGTTGATGAACAGCTCCGGTGCCTCCAGGATCCGTGCACGTGGAACTGGTGGAAGAAGACAACCAGCGCGGAAGACGACCATGTAGTTCATGCCGCAAGCTCTAGCAGCAGTCTCTCTTCATCGGCTGGTATATTTGTTAGCGTGTTTCTTTACAGACGAGACAGCCAGACTAAACTAGGAAGTTCGCCACCTCTGAGCATCTTTTACCGTTAGTCAAGAGATTGTTGCAAAGGGCCTCAAGGTGAGCGTAGCGATATGTAAAAGATAGAGCGAGGCTTTTTGTCAGCTGTAGTTTTGTCATTTATGTCAGGACACTGACGTGATCATGTGTGCGGCAAAAGCATTTGTTCTCGTAAAGTCGAGATATTTTGTCCTTCGAAACCGATTTTGTGACTAGTCGAAGCGCAAAAACGTTTTCCTCGCGCAAGTTAGTTGAACTGTCATGGTGGTCAGATTTCTATTGCGTGCTTTTGGTTAGGATAATGCTGTTGATTATTTTTCAAAGAATAGGCTACGCAGCAAGTTTTATGATACTTTGTCTACACTTTGCCCTACAAATTGACCTTCTTTCCTTTGTCTGCACTTGGCTGTTCAAAAACTCACGACACTTAGGCTTGCCCACTTTCTCTTTATCTTTGTTCATTTATTTATGCATATAATTGCCTTTTTAATGTCTGAAACGTTGCGCATTGTATTCACCCTGTACTGCCACTTTCTTAATCAATTTGCGGAATTGAATAGGTTTTTCCTTCCAGAAGAAATGTTATACCAACAAGCCTTAGGAGGCCAATTGTTCATGCTATTCCCAAGTTGCCATAATTGTTTAAAAAATCTACACAGGTATATATGAAAGAGAAGCGGTTGCTTTAGTAATAATATTGTGTTTCTACATAATGTTATCCAAGTGTTCACAATTTTCTCTCGTCTTTTTTTTCTCTTTATCTCCTCTTATATTCTTTTCCTGTACACACTGAGTGGCAGCTGAGAGCCTGCTCGTCCATATTTTCTGGGTGTCCTTATCTTCTGGGTATGCATATCAAATAATATTAATGTGCAGAAATAAACTTCATCTTTTAAGTGCTTTCATATGTGATACACATGGTATCACAAATACATGGGACACATCGTGAGTAACTTCTCAAATTTTTCAGAGTCAACAATTATATATGAAATTAATCAAAGTTGCAAAAGCAGTGAATGGGTCAGCTAAAAAAACCCAATTTTCTGATTTAGAACTCAGGATGTGATGTAAGATTACACACAACTACCATTGTATAAAAGTAAGATAAACGCCTTTTCTATTGGTGTTGTTGTCTCCCTTGTTGAGAAGCTTGCCATTGATACTAACGCAATCACATAATTGGCTAAATGTGGCTCATTGCGGATGCTAAAGGGTGTTTTAACATTTAACGTGAAAGTGTTTTATGCCGGGATCTACCACGAGAAATATCCAGTGTAGAGAATTATCCCACCGATACTACACTGCAGGTCAAGAGAGAGAAGAAAATAAATATCAGAAAAGGAGGGGGAAGTTAACCAGACTGAGTCCAGTTTGCTACCCTACACAGGGAGAGGGGAATTAGGCAGAGAAAAAGAGAGAGAGGAGGATATACGCATTGCACATAACGCACACACCGCACATACAAGGCAGTAAAACCTTCAAGGTTTCACAGCCAGTGAGACCTTGAAATATTGCAGGTCACGAACAAGTGCCTATATATACGGGGTGGCTGGTGAATGGTTGTGCAGGGGGAGTTTCAAAAGTCAACGCGTGCTGTTCGCGCCCCCTCGCCACGCGGCGAGCGATTAGGTGGTGCGAGAGAGAGCGAATTGTCTCTTGATGAGAAAATGCAGTGTCTCTCTTGCGCTTAAGCAGACCGGCCATCACTACAGTAGCAGCACCAGACAACGATGCAGCCTTCACCTAAGGTGCTTCATCCTTTGAAGCATTCCGTAATGTCAGAAACATCGCAACTTCTAAAAACAGTGCTGGGACCAAATATTAAAAAAAGTGATGGAACTATGCAAGCGCTGACTCACAAGAACGAGTTTATTTCGCCTAGCGAAATCTGCAACCACACAAAAAAAACAAGAACAAATAAATTATATGAAGACAGGTGTTCCTTAACGGCACATGAGTTAAGATTATGGTCAGTGTAAAGCTAATTGACAACCTTTTTTTTTTCTCAGCAAGTCTACGGAATGCATTCTTACATATCAGTCATTGTGTGCATGAATCACGTGAACATTCGACTGCAATGATTCTTGCGTGTTTTCAAAACACTTGTTTAGTCAAAATGTGGCACGCAACCACACCTTTAACGAAGCAGAGCAGCATACTGCTCCTTTCATGCTTCAAGGTGCATGCATGTTCTCGCAGTCGATCATTTAGGCAATGGCCTGTTTGCCCGTTGTAGGACATTTCCAGACCGCGAATTCATACAATATGTTCGATCGGCACGCAACGAATTATCGTGTGTGTTTTTGGAGCAAGATTGTGCAGCAAATTCTTGCACATTTCTTTCACCACACAATCCACTTCGTTTGTTGGGTACGCTAAAAACGGCCGAGGCTTCGATTCGAGTTGAAAACATTTTGAGTATAAATAGGATGCAACATGAACGACTGGGAGGACTGTCGATGTCTTCCATTCAGCGCCATCGCATTCATTAACGGGATTTTGAGTACGAATTTCTTCACAAGTATTTCCCGAATAATTAAAAACAACATGTGGTTTAGGAAGGCAGGAAAAGTCTAGCTGTTGCTAGCAAGCTTTATTATGAAAATGTGGAATCACATATTGGAAGTCGGCTATTATATGAACGTTGAATTCAAGTTCACTAATGCAGATTTTCATCAAGAAAGAAGCCATATCATCAGAAAGGTAAAAACTTTAAAATGGTTTATGAAACATCGTCTTCATCGACTTCATCACTACATAGTTATTTCAGACTACAAATGAAACTTTCATTTTTCTGTTCCTCTCTTTTTTCCAGGTCTTATATTTTCAGCCATTTAAACAACTTTAATTTCACCGTGGTATGCAAAACAAGGCACCCAGGCACGTGAGGAGTAATTAAGCTTGCTAAGATCTTATATAGTATGATTGAGAATGTGTCAAAAGCGTTCATTATACAACGAGAACTAATTAAAAGCCTCCTCCGAATGCTAATATTGGTTCACTCGAGATCTAGCTCACTTCTACCTTCCCACCCCCATATTGTTTTTCTTCACTCGGCATCACAATTTGAGCGGATGGCCGGCGCTATGACAAGCCGAGCGTGCCAAACTCGCTAATCCACCCCCGTTTCGAGCGGTGAGTTCTCGAAGTGCTTCCAGTCCTTCGTACGTTGGGCTGCGGCGATGTATAGTCGAGCAACTATCCCCATTTCGAAGGAGTCTCATTAACGCTCACCGATCTGGAAGACCACTGCTTGGACTCAGCTTTCAAATCCTGAATACTTAATTCAACGCCTTGAATCAGAAACTACCAGTCGAGTGAGCACCCAGTTAACTCTCGAAAATGGTCGAATACCGCGCTCCTTCGCTGCGCGGTCAGTGCACGAACGGGCTGTCAGTGAGTTGCGCAAGCGGCCAAGCGCTTAAAAGATATTCGTGTGGTCGAATCGACGAAACGCGGAAACGAGGCACAGCTTTCCTCCGCTTTCCGAATGAAACATGATCAATAGACGTAACTTCAGTTTGTCACTTTCATCGCAGCAGGCCCCCTTCTTAGTATCTCGTGAAGCAGGTAAATATTTTAATATTGCATTGCCGTACATTGCGCCAGCGACGGTGAGTGCTCCGCAAAGCAGCTTGTATTCATCTATCGAGGCAATCATTCGAAGTGGACTACGTGTTCGGAGGAGGCGGAATTACCTTTCTGGCCTATGTATTGATGCAAGCGGAACTAGCCTCGACGGCATGAAAGCAATAACGGAAAAGTGAATGACAGAGCCAAAGGTAGGGCAAGGAAATACGCTTACGATATCTAAGGTTGCATCGCAATGAAGCACGGAACAGACGTAATCATATATAACGTGTAAAACATGGCGCGAGGAGGGGCGAGAAGGCATGTTTGCGTCGTATTCGCCAGCGAGACGCCGGAAGGCGGTATACAAGACGCCGGTCCATGTTCGCTGTCTCGACCGTGAGAAGTTGTTTATCATGTCGAGATCTACTTCCGCTCCGGACTCTCGTCGTTTTGTTGAAAAGAGAATGAGGGGTTAGATCGTAGGGGGGCGGAGTACAGAAGAGAGAGAGAGAAAACACTTTCGCGGCGCGGCAGGAGGAGGCTTTGTTTGATCCTGCGGAGATGCTATATGCTCCAAATGGGATGAGAGCGAAGTTCGCGTGCGCAGAGGACGACGTCTTTATGAAACTGGGCCAGGGCGTTTCTTTACAATGGAGAATGCGGGGTGAGTGATTGTGCAGCTGACTCGAATTCTACGCTGTCGCACACTTCCTTCTTTAGGCGTGCTGCTTGGTTTTAGGCGCCTTGGTACACGTCATGGTAAAACAAACAGCCGAAAAAAAAAACAAAAAAAGGCCTTCGCCCATGAAAAGTATCAAGTAGAGCTCTGAAGGTGTCATTAGGCACTTCAAAACGTAAACGAGATCCAGACGCGAGCACACGCTCCAAACGAATAATGGACAGCTGAAGTTCAAACGGAAAGCGCGGAAGTCTAGAAATGGGACAAACGCAGTACTTATCGCTTTCTTCACCAGCATTAGTGGAGAAGCAAAGCGGGTGGCACATCTTCTGAACTTTATAGCATTTCAGAGAGTGTTCTAATGGATCCCATTTTATCGCGGTACAATATCCCTGCTTTGTGCATTCTCGCACTAAAGAGTGTACAAGGCTACAAACAGTAGAAGTGTCAACTGAAGCCGGTCTCCGGCAATGCAAATAAGCAAGGCGTAGTAAGCGAGAACAGCTCTATTGAAACTACGATGTTTTTTTTATTTTTATCATTTATTTTTCTCATCTTGCACTGCTTCGAATCCCCTTGTAGCGTATGCAAATAATACATATTAGGTTCCA